TGATCACGAGATCTCACAACACGTCATATATTGAGCAGGAGCAATTTTCTTGTGACATAGTGTAGACACTCCAATCCTGATCGAAAAAGTAATTGGAGACTTTAGGTGAACATTTGCCGCCTACAGGTAGCACGAGGCAACGCTAGAAAGTAGAAGAACTCCAAGGAAGCATGAGGTAACCCTATGAAAGGGCAACTATAGGTACACATTTGTCGCCTCTTTGGCTAAACTATCAGCCGCACTGTTCCTTGTCTATTGACGTGAGTGAAAATGGTTTATCCCCCAAGAGATAAAATGTAATTTCGATCCATGATAAAGGCCTAAAGGCAAGGAATGGTGTTAAGTTGCCTAGTACATGCGGAATCACAATAATCTGGGGCTTAAAATTACCCAAAAGGAGTGAAGGGAGAAAGTGCTCAGAATTATAAATTTGACCTAAACCTAAGTAGGTTCGGCAATGGCCTGAAAATGTAGGGCCTAGGCTACAAAATGTGCCCTGAGGGTCAGAATTGGGTTGAGCCTAGGCCAAGCCATGATATGGTCCAGCCCACTAATATTTTTTCAAAATTCTTTCTTTTTTTGTAGGGCTGGTACAAGTTAGGTGGGCCCACAAGGACCGGGGCCCGGGCCATTGGGCCCACTCCGAAGCTCATGCATTAATTGTGGATGATGGCGAAGGAAGGATATTAGGTACGACGTCATTGGACATTTCCACATAGAGAGGGAGAGAGAGTGCAGTAAAGTCGTATCTATCCAAAATCAATGGTTTTGTCCCTAGTTTTCATTGGAGATATGGCCTAAGTCGTACCATTATTCAAGAGAGAGCGAATTCAAGAGAGAGAGAACCCCAGGGGGAAGTATCGTCCTCGTCGGTGGCTTCCAAAGGTTTTTAGGAGGTGGTCCCTATTGTCCATATTATTTAAAGTCAGAGACTTCAAAGTGGGTATGGACTCATCTGATATTTGTTCTCACACGTTGGGTCTTTATGAGACGAACCTTGTCCCTACATCGAGCTCCACGTTTTATGTGTTGATTCTTCCAAGTGGCACACGGTTCGGATCCCAAGGCGGTGCGTCTCCCAAAGAGCATAAGATTTTGAGCGTTATGTCACACTCCTCAAAGTTGAAAATCTTGCAGTTCACACGTACGAAGCCCACGCCTAAACAGTTTGCTCAGTCGGCGCCATAAAGCCCACAGGAGTCAGGACCACTGAAATGTTCCGTTTTGGGCTAAGGTTAAAATGCCCTAAGTTTCTTGCGTGACGCCTTGTATTGCATGGGACTGATGCCCTCAATTGTTATGAAAATAACTGAAATGGCGGCTCACAGCAGGAATATGAAGTTGAGTTGATTTTCTTTTTTCTTTTTTTTTTTTGGAAAAATTGCTAACCCCTCCCAAAATGGATTTTTTACCACTTTACCTTCACTCGACGTTTCTTAGCAACTTCCCAAAAAAAAATCATGTTTCCTGGTAAATACCCTATATAAAAAGTTTTTTTTTTTTTCAAAAAAAGACTTTTCCCTCATGTAACAAATCATTTTCGGATATCAATAAAGAAAACGTCGGACTGCACTTGTACAACGTTGGACCGTCGTGTTAACGCTGGACTGCTCACTTCAAAGCGTCGGACCGCTACTTCAAAACAGCGAACTGCCAGTTCGGACCGCCATATCAAAACGTCGGACTGCCTCTTGGACTGCAACTTCAAAACGGCGAACAGCCCATTCCAGCAAAAAAAAAAATCGTTGAACAGCCACCATGAAACGCTTGATCGGTCATTCCAGCAAAAATAATCGTCGGAACGCCTGTTCAAAATGCCTTACTGCCCTCTCCAACGAAAATAATTTGTTATGTGAGGGAATGGTATTTTCATCCAAAAAAATGAACTAAGTTGGGTGGATAAAGTGTGTAAAAAGTCCATTGGAGGGGGGGGCTTTTACAATTTTTTTTTTTTGTAGGTTTTAAAATTGGGATATACTAGAATGCATCATGTTATATTAGTTGTAGATTTAGAATTTTTTGCTCTGAATTTTTTTGAATAAAATGTTGTTGCAAATATAAAAATTATGTTAATCATACTTTAATTGAAAATTTTAAAAAGGGTATATTTATAATTGTAAGTTACTTTATCGGTTAAAAAGTCAAAAGAATCTTTTTAAATTTGAAATTTAGTGAAATTTTAAAAAGACAAAAATGTTATTCTTAAATGAGTAATGATCATATGAAACCCTCTCACATCCATGTGTGTAGGACTTCAAAAGATCACCATTAAATTTAGTACAGATCTTTTGAAAAGTCAAATCCCACACCATGTGACAATTTTTCTAGAAATGTGTGTCATATTTAATGATGATTCTTTGGGATCCTATACATATGGATGTGAGAGGGCCTCGTAGGATCATTACTCTTCTTAAATTATATAAAATATTTATAGTAAGTTATTTTGGAACACATAATAACATCTTATAGTTTAATATTTTATTGCAGTAAATTCTAAGTTCATCATTAATGTCATATAATATAAAACTACCCTTTCAAATTATATTAAAGGGCTTGCACTAGAAATGTATCGTTCCAATCTCTAGTTGTTCCACCGCACATCAATCCTTATGATCTTAAATAAGATTGTTTTTATTCTGGTGAAGCCTTATTAAGGGTTAATGCATTCACATGCTGTACTTCTAATTTGGATTTGCTTGCTTTGAACCCTTCACGTAACTAACACGAAAGAAGGAAAATATTAAGGAAAATATAGTATTGAGGGGGATTGTATAGACCATTTTCTTTGATACAAGGAGATCACAAGTACTTATAATTATTTGATGTGAAATCTAATAGCTTGGGTATGTTACAAATTTTGAAAACATTTTTTTTATAGTTTGAGTTTGGTCAATAGAATAAATACATTTATCCAATTTCACATTGAATGGTCAAGATTAATTGTGACAACCTTGTACCAAAAGTAAATGGTTTCATTGTATACTTTTCTAGCACCGAGGAACATTTAGTAGCAGCTATGGACAAAGATATATTTCTCAACTTAATTTTTTCAAAGAGAATTAAAGAAATATTAAATTTGGTCTTTGAGACTTTTGACTTAAGGGGAAATGCCTATGCAACATGGCATATGTATTCATCATTTTTTGTGTATGTTGTGATACCAGAGGCACAATATTTTCATATAAAGAGAATATGAGATTAGCCCGCTAGCTAGCATCTACAGTATTAACTCAATGATTCAGATTGAATTTGTGGCAATTTAATGGTCACGATTACATTTCGTATTTTAATTTAATTTTATTTTTTTTTACAAATTCAAGTCACTTAAAATTTTAAGCGTTTGTTCTTTAAAAATATGAAAATCTATAAAAAATATTTTTAAAAAAATTCACAAGAAAAAAAAATTCAAAATACTCCAAAACTTTTCAAAGGTATTTTAATCAATTTATTTTTTGTGAATTATTTTTTAATATTTTTATTAAATGCATCTTAATGAGAAGAATGGATGCCTCAAATTTCATATGATTTAAAATTGTAGAAAAAATATTAAAATTATATATTAAAATGAGGTCCTGACCATCAAATCAGCTCAGATTGTTGGGCTTACACTTTTCCATCAGCTTATAGATTAACAAGAATTTTTTCCTTTTATATAATATTTTAAAAACTTAAATACTTTTGTTTCATATTAAAAAATATCTAATGTGGGAGAGCCTGTACTTGATCTTGTGTTCAACAAGATTTGCTTCATCCAAATAATTTGAATGGTGCAAATCATACCCAAATACAAAGAACGAGGAACGAGTCATCCGTATTAAAATGATTCAAAGTGGAATTCCTTATGAATTTGTTTGGCACTCCGCAGATAACCAAATGTGGATCTCTCTTAAAAAGCTTAAAAAATGCCCAAAATCTTGATATCTCTCATAGTTTTAAAGTTGGGGGAGAGGACATGGTGAAAGAATGAGTAAAGAAGATTTTTGAATTATTTGCAAAGAGAGAAGGTTGGAATAGAGGGTGGGCGGGGGGGGGGGGGGGGTAGGTGAAAAGGGGGCTTCCTGTTTCGGTTGCCTCTCCAAAATTTGTGGATGTAATCTACACCAGATGTCTTTTAAGTTGGCGGAGACGCATGAGAAATAGGAGAATTGGGCGGATCGGTTTGTGTCCAAATCAGTTTTTGAAAATTAGTGTTAGGATGGGGCTGGATCCGTTTGTTTCCAAATCGGGCCGGAAATTTGTTTTTGTAATGCATCGTCTATGCAGATGTCTTTTTAAAGTGTACCCTGTTAGGGGTTGGCAATGGTTCGAGTTTTCAAGCCCGTCCTAGTCAGTTTGACCATAAAAAACTAGGGTGTGGACCAAAGACTAGGCTAAGGTTGGGTCATCAGGCCCTGTGGCCTGGGCTTCGCTACGACAGGGCCAGCAAGTTGGGCCTAGCCCAACCCTTTTTCTTTCTTCAATTTTCTTTGGTTTATGTTTACTTTTATCTAGCCTAACCTGGCCTGGCACGGACTTGACAGGACTAGGGTCAAGCCTATGCCGGGGCCTCTTTTGGTGAGGTTAGGGATGGCCCGGCTAGTGCCAAAGCTGATAAGGCGCGAGCCCGGCCGGTTACCAGGCCCAACTAATATCCGCGTCGGTCTTTTACGTGGGACCAAAAGGAAATTTCCTAGGAGCCCTTGGAAAGTAACTATTGGGCGGCCCAGCTAAGGCGAATTTTGGTCGGGCCTTAGTGGACAGACGGGCAAAATGGTAATTGTAGCGAGCTCTTCCTATCCTCTATCAAGTAGCGAGGAGCCTTGGTCTCCACGTCAACCCCCCGCGCCCCCGTTTTCTACAAGTTCCCCCTCATTGTCACTTCCAGCCTGTAATCATCTCTCGTCCTTCACCCAATCGGTCAAACCCACGTGTAACGCGCGTACAGGGACACTAGCGAGCTAACAGCTGGCCCTCCCTCTGCTTTACCAAATCGCCACCCTCACTATATGAACCCCTCCCCTTTCACTCTAAACACTACACCAATCCGCTCTCTCTCTGTCTCTCTCTCTCTCTCATATCCTGCAACAACCTCTCAAACTTTCTCTCTCTAGCTTTACACCTGATTTCTAAAGTTTGGTTCGCCATGGATTCTGTGTTTCCAAAGCTCAATCGAGCTCACTTCCTCTTCCTACTGTACATGATAGGAAGCTTTTCATGTATACAGAGCTCCGAATCGAAGCCCGCTGCTCTGGTAGAAGAACAGCCCCTGGTGCTCAAGTACCACAACGGCCCCCTCCTCAAAGGCACCTTCTCCATCAACCTCATCTGGTATGGCTACTTCACCCCCGCCCAGCACGCCATAATCACCGACTTCATCCGCTCTCTGTCGTCCCCCTCCGCCTCCCCGTCGGCTGCCTCCTGGTGGCAGACTGTCCAGAAGTACAAATCCGTTCGCCCGGGCACGACGACCGTTGCTCTCGGCAAACAGCTCCTCCACTCCTCTTACCCTCTCGGTAAAACCCTGACTTCCAAACAATTGGTTGCTCTGGCTTCCAAGGGCGGACAGAGAAACGCGATCAGCGTGGTGCTCACGGCCAAGGATGTCGCGGTGGAGGGCTTCTGCTCCAGCCGCTGTGGGACCCACGGCTCGGCACTGGGTGCCGGCTCCAGGTTTGCCTACATTTGGGTGGGCAACTCCGAGCTGCAGTGCCCGGGGCAGTGCGCCTGGCCCTTCCACCAGCCCATGTACGGGCCCCAGACCCCACCCCTCGTGGCCCCCAACGGCGATGTGGGCGTGGACGGGATGGTGATCAATTTGGCAACGCTCACGGCAGGGACAGTGACAAATCCATTTAACAGCGGGTACTTTCAAGGGCCAGCCACCGCACCGCTGGAAGCGGTGTCGGCGTGCACCGGGATGTTCGGGAAGGGGGCTTACCCTGGGTACCCAGGGGATTTGTTGGTGGATAAGGTGACTGGTGCGAGTTATAACGCTAATGGAGTTAATGGCCGCAAGTACCTGTTGCCTGCTATGTGGGATCCTCAGACCTCTGCCTGTGCTACTCTGGTTTGAGAAAGAGCTCAAGTGTAAGTATTGAATATTGTAGAGAAGGGGTTGCAGTGAGGTGATATTAAAGTGTAATTATAAGATGGTGTATAAGGTGTACACTTGATGATGTACAAAGCACGGTTTTAAATTTTAATTGGAGTATGTAGTTTGGATTTTGGACAAAATTCTCAGGACGTGGTACAAATAATTGTGGTAACTGGTTTCTTTGTATACAATAGATTTCTTCAATTGGACACAAGAAGTCACAAGACCTCCTTAGGGAGATTTTCCTTTTTTTTTTTCAATTTGAAATTTTGGGAACCATTTAAAGAAGGGAAAAGTTTATACAGAGCCGAGGCTCTAAACAATCAAATTGGAGCCAACCTCAAAATTTTTACTAGAAGAGGGTAGTTTTGATGCTCAAATATCTTCAAATTGATCATCTCGACATCAAGAGATGCAAGGACATGAAAAAAAAATGGATTGCTAAGTTTTGGAAGTAGTCTATTTTGTAATACTTTTTTGGACGGTAAATTTTCAAGATTTTTCAAGTTTTTATCGATATTTAGATCTATACTATTTTTAAAGCTTTAAACTTTATAAATAAATATAAAAATATATTTTAAAGCTATCATAAATATTTTCAATAATGAAATCACATTTTTTTTACACTATTTGAAGGTAATTTCTAATTTGATTGTCTAGAGCCTAAGCTCTATGCAAACCGCACCTTTTTCGTAGGCTCTATGCAAACCACACCCTTTAAAGAATACTTGATAATTTTTTCTAAAAAAAATTAAAATTTGAGTTTTTTAGTACTTAGGTTTTATCTTCTAAATTTAAGATGGTCTCTATTTAATTGTGTGTTATTATTTTTCAAAGTATATAAGTCGTGGAGGCAAGGCAACACAGGGGGATAGG